AATGAACGTTGCCGTTACTTTCACCTATACGGCAACATCGCATCCCACAACATACAGGCGAACATTGCCAAAAGGTTTTGGCAACGTTTTTTGATCGTTGTGAAATGTGATTTCTGGTGTAGTGAATCCAATCAATATCAAAATAACCCTCAAGTACAGCAAGAAATTATTATGATGTATTCCATAATTTAGAGTGTATCTTAAATACCTCAAGACTTGAATAAGTGCATCCTAATGCTCACCATTAGGATTACTAGTATATTTGCTAAGTCTATGAATCGCATATGCTATATCACATCTTGGCTTGCATCATAAGGTGCTTTTTAGCAAGAATACGGTTGTATTGAGTAAAACTTCTTAAGTACTTTCTTCAAATGATGAGATTGGCTAACGTAATCTTTTCGATATATTTTACTCTATTAATTTCTAGAATAAAATTAGTAAGACCAAAATCTTTTATGTCAATATGCTTTTCAAAAGTAGCTTAGTCTTATTAATCACATATGAACTAGTTTTCATAATTAACACATCATCAACATATACAAAATCATCACACTACAATTATTTTCAAATTTGCTATATGTACATTTATCAGCTTCATGTATCACGTAACTATTGTCTATCAAAATTGTATTAAAATTTTCATACAATTGTTTTGAAGCTTGTTTTAGGCTATAAAAGAGGTTTTTTAATTGTATATACTTTGTGATTAAGGACTTCTACGAAAAGTCCACCAGATTGGTTCATGTAAATGTCCATTTATAATAGTAATTGCGACATCCATTTGATAAATAATAAAATCATATAAAGAATCATTTGCAATTAATATCCTAATTGAGGCAATCCTAATAACAAGTAAATAAGTATCAAATAAGTCAACTCCGTCTTTTTGTCATGTCATTTAGATGTCTTGCTTTAAACTTATCAATTGAAAAATTGGTTATTTCTATAAGGAATTATGGAATTCATTAGAAAAGAATAATATGTTGGAACTAAGAAATTTCTTGTGAAAATATTTTTAGGATTTAAAATAGATGATACTAGGACTGTAGTAAGTCAATTAAGAAATTGCACATTATAATCTATGGTGAAAATAGATATTTTATTAATTTCATTGACGATTATTCTCGATACAATTATACTTATCTTCTTAAGAGAAAAGATGGATGTTTGTCAAAATTTATCATATAAAATTGAAATTGAAATCTTCTAGACAAAATTATTAAATAAGATTGAATAGGCGAGGAGAATATATTAGTGATTTTGACAAATTTTGTGGTAATAATAGTTTTATTCATATATTATCTTCCCCTATTGATCTTATTTAATATTTTATATAAATAAACAGAAGAGAAAGTGAAGAGAAAAAAAATTATAAAAAGAAAAGAAAAAAGAATAAGCATCGCATCTACAATTTTTTGAAAATCAATCCATCACAGGATAAGTAGTCGAGGTCAAAAAATTGAACAGAGGTTGATTAAATAAAAAATTGGTCAACTCGTCCTGCACTTGAATATTTTAAATAGCTTTTTGTTTTCAATTTTTACAGGCATTTTTTTTGGTCGAACTGGCGATCCGATCCCCTTTCTTGATATTACTCTTTCATTATCTAAATGCACCAATAATTTCCACCATAATATTGAATTATGAGAGAAGATAGTAATTTTTAACTCAATTATTCATGTCCTATTAAAATTCATGTTGAATATTCTTCAATGAGTTCATGGACCATTCAAAGTAGTTGTGCCTATGAGCTACTGTAAATGCAAATATTAGGGATGAGTGATTAGCATTGCCTAGTAGTTATGCCTAATTACAGATAAATGTAGACGCGAGATATGAACTGTGGACGATATCTTTAAATGTCTTCTCTAATCTCACCTATTCCATTTTACATCTGGATTTAATTTGTTATCTTTAAGCTTATAATCCAAAGATTCCAAACCCCAAGTTGAACAAAATTGCAGTGCTTTAATATTCCAAAACGTTTGTAAATATTACAAAATAACAGGATATATAAGAGACACATTTCAAAATTAATAAACTTCATAAAACTTTTCAAAAATCAAGTGATAAATCAATTTATTAAATTTTTAATTATAATATAATATAATTAATCACTCCAAATTTCAAAATCCAAGCCATTCTCTTTCTCTCTCAGCTCTCTATCCTCTCCCCACGCCTTCTCCCCATTGAAGGCGAGGATCGGCTCCGACGACGTTTCTGATGACCGCTCTGACGATTGCTCCGAATATCGCTCCGGCTCCCGCGATAGAAAAACCTCCAAAAATTGAAAATAGTTTCTCTCTATACTCCACTGTAAAACAACCTCCAAAAATTTATCTGTGGCTAAATTTATTGTTCGTGACTGCCTATGTTTTATGTGACTATTTATGATCAAATTTGTTTTCGCTAAAATGGTAAGTGACCATCCAATTTATAACTGTATGTAGCCATTCACTGACATATGTTATTTGTGATTAATTGTGACCAAATTTGTTTTTGATGTGATTAACTGTGATCAAATTTATATTCAGTGTGATTGTCTGTGACCAAGTCACAATCGATCACAAACAATCATAACAAACACATACTTTGTCATATGGTGTCACCATAAACAAATCTGCATACACTTCAGACCAATATCACAATCCACCACTACTAACACCTCCAACTCAAATGCTTTACATATGATGAGGTGTTGGCAATCTAACTAGTACTCGACTAGGCCTAGGCATTAATGTCGTGGCTGAAGATAATGGGACGGATGACCCGCTGCTGGATGGTAGAGGGCTTTTCAAAGCCATAATTATAAATTCTTTTGTGGTCATACTTGATGCCCATCTCGTCGAAACTCATTATTGGTTCCACCCCTTTTGATGTCTCAAACACCAACTTCGCTCTTCTTCCTCGATTGCTCGCCTAACCCTTTGGGAAGTTCCCGCCGCTGCCATTGTATCTGTGTATACACCAACTGATTGTGTGGCAAAATAATTATGCACTGGAAGAGGAGAAGAAAAAGTCCTCATCCTGCTCTAGAGCAAAATAAAAAGGTTGAACCCCAATCTTAAGGGTTTTCCAATGCCCGCCCCTGAAGCATCGTAAGAGATGTTAATCGCGAGATGTGTCCCAACAAGTCAGAGAATAAGAACTGTCTGTACGTTGGTGCTCACAAAGAGTTTCAATCCATGTTTCAGGAATCGAACCCTCACACTGCGACTGCCAGTAAAGTTGAGTATACCTCACTCTTATCCTTTCTGCCACTGGGATATGTCCCGGGAGCTACTCTAGAGCAAAATAGCTATGCACGGAAGTGGAGGGCGAGATCTATAAAGAAGAAAAAGCCCTAGTAATATAAAAGTTATTTTATTGGTGGAAAATTCCTACGGTTCCCTAAAGTTAGAGAGAGGATAGAGAGAAAATGGGTAATGGAGGAGAGAGAAAAAGATTATGGGAAAAAATGATTGGGGGTGCTAATCATCCTTATTTTTGAAAAATAATCTTTAAATGTAGATTTGTTGGTAATTTTCCCTTGTTTAAGACTTTTATAGATAGTATATTTATTTGAGATTTTTTTATAGACAATGTATTTAATTAAAACTTTTAGAAGTCTATAAGTTTTATGAGTATTCAAATTGTTAATGTCTTTTAAAAAATTTTAAAAAAGTTTTTAAAGTACTAACTTTTAAACAAAAAATAAAAATAAAATCTCAATGTTTGTCTATCATTCATTCCAAGATTTTGGAAGATTTTCACATAATAATAATAATAATAATAATAATAATAATAATAATAATAATAATAATAATAATAAGTGTTTTTGGTTTCTTTCAATATTTCTCTTTCTTTTTCCCTTCTACAAATATTAGAGTTGTGACTAAAAATAATTATTTTTCTACTGAATATATTTGTTTCTATTTTTCTTTATTTCTCTCCGTCTTTTATTTTTTTTCTCTATTTTCTATGAAAAAATTAAATTGTAACTAAAGATTCTTATAAAAAAAAAAATTCTTCTTTTTTAATTATTTTTATTTAAAATATTTATTTGTAATTAAAAATTATAAAATTTTATATATAAAAGAATAAATTATAATGATTATAATATATTGATTTCTTGTATACTCTTTAAAGTTACGTCATATTAATAATACTGAATATTAAATTATTTATTTATTTTTTATGAAAGAATATGTTATATATATTATTTTTATAAATATTGTTTATTATATGGATGGGTGAAAGGGAAATGTGAAAATCACCACGTCGTATATGAAAATTTCACACTATCATTTTAGACCTACATGAATTATATTTTAAATGAGAATCTTCAAAAATTTAATTTCATACAAATTTGTAAAAAAATTCACGAAACCTACAAAAGTCATCACTTAAAAAGTTCATAAAAATTCCAATTGAATACACATAAATTTTGATAAAAGTTAATGAAATATACGATTGTAAGGTCGAAAAGTTGCGAGTCCCATAAAACAATTGATTCAAAATAAATTTAAGAAAATATAAATTCTAAACAATAAGATCAAACAGGCTAAAATTTAAAATAAAATAACTTCGTGGGAGAAATCTGATGTTGCAGGCTTGCAGCCTCGCAGGCACGTGACAACTTGAATTCTCTGACCATGGGAAAGTGAAGTTAATTTCGACGTGCAATGTAATGGAAATAATCAAATTATCACTTATAATATGCTGAAAATAATCTCATTTTTCAAAAGCAAGAATCACTAAAAGCAAGCTTCCATTTGTTTCACCCCTTTGTTTCCCTTCTAAATCAAGCAATATCCACATGCATCTGTTATGTACAGTATACATACACTAACAAATCTTTGCAGTACATAAATCGTCACTTTCATTTCTGTTAAACACTGTTTTTCTCTTAAGATCCAAGCATAAAACGAAAGCACGAAATCTTGATGGGTTTCATTTGATTCTTTTTCCCCATAAATAGAATCCCATTTACCGCTATTTTCTTGGGCTTTTGCAGTATGGGAAATTGCTTTGAAACGGTAAGGAAATCGGCGGCGGAGATTGCGCCGTCAGAGTTGATTAAGGGCTCTCCGGTCATCAAACTCTACGGCCCACCGAACAGTATTGCGACCTCATACATTCGATTTGCTCTCCTTCACAAGCCGGTTTCTCTCCAATTTATCCCCTCTGAGACCCACGAAACACCGGTACTGATTTTCCAATCCGAAGTCGTTACCGGCTCCGTCGAGACCATGCTCCGTTACTTGGACGGAAAATTTCCCGACCCGCCATTGACAATTACTACTAGTAACAATGTTGGGGGGTGGTACGGCGGAACGACGCCCATGGTGGTGTGGGTGGTCGTGTTGCAACACCGGAGTCTGATGTGGCATCTGGAGAGGATGGTAAGGTGGGCGGAGGACATGGCGGCGCGTGGAGGGAAAGCGCGTGGCGATCCTGCAATGGGGAGTCCAAGAATGGAGGTGAAGAAATTTGGGAGAAATTATTCACAATTGCTTCAGATGTTGCTTGAGCATGCCCAAATGGAAGAGAAAGTTGTCTTTCCAATCTTGGAATCTGCAGATCGAGGTATATAATTTTATTTTTGTTAGATGACGTTACTGAATAAGAAAAGTACAATCTTTGTCGCCGAAGTTAAAATAATGTTGTTTTTATGGTGTCTTTTATATTTGCTCTATGCTCATGAACAGTAGATCTACTTCTCTGTTTGATTATGTTGATGTGGAAGGTTGTAAAATATGGGGTATTCCGATTCAATCATAATGACAGATTAAATTCTAAATATTCAAATTTTGTAGTGGAGACAATGACAAGCTACTTGATACGAAAGATGAGTAAAGTAGTACCTTTCCAGTTGCCAATTTTTATTTCCACTTTGAACATATTTAGGTCTTTAGTCTGTAGGAGATTATGTTTGAACTTGCAGATGAATCGAAAGATTTGACTGGACAAAGAATCAACTTATTATGTAATTGACACCCTGTAATGACAGAAACAGAAGATTGAATATATACAATTGATGCAACAAAAGTCTTTATGTGATCAGATGTTGAATTGATTGAATGTGACTGAAAGGATAAAATTTTAGACCAGATATTGTACCAAGAGACTTCAGATAAGAAGACAGAGAAAGAATTGCTGGTCTCGTGAAAGTTGGATTTGGAGTAGTGGTAATCAATTGTTCATCACTTAAACGACAAATTGCAGAGCAGATTAGCCCATAAAGTGGGGTAAAAGTTTGAAGGACATGAAGCCTGAAGGTTTGATTTACACTATGCTCAAATCTTGACAATTGAAACTCACTGCTGACAGTTGGGAAAGTGGGGCGAACTAGTGAATAGAATTATTTACTTGTTTACTGTTTATATTAGGGTTGACAGTCAGCGTAAAACCTTATCAAATATTATTACATGAATCTTTGCACTCGAACACTAGCAAGGCACATTGTTGGAGATGGTACGTGATAGTTGTTAAGGATCTAGTTGATATACATTTTTCCTACAGATCGAGGAGTGAACAGAAAAAGTATGGGATTGGATTTATTTAGCCAAGATCCATATTTATTTAGAAAAAACTTAGTTTGTCGCTGTCTCTATCTTTTAGTTAGTATTACAAGTGTGGGCTGAGAAGAAAGCTCAAAGTAATCCATTACTAGCAGCAAGTTCTCAGTGAAAACATTAAACTTTCAACAGAAACAGAACTTTTACCTCAATTTAACAGTTCTTAACTTCTTTCGGAGTATTGATATGCCACTTACATGATAAATTGATGATTGTCATGGCCTTTGGTCGAATGTAAATTTGCAACTTACTGACCGTTGAACATGCAATGATGCAGGACTGTCCAAAGTTGCAAACGAGGAACATGCAAGAGACCTACCTTTAATGAATGGTATCAAAGAAGACATTAAATCCATTGGAGTTTTGGATTCAGGGAGCCCTGTGTACCAAGAGTTCGTCTCCAACCTTTCTTCGCGGCTTAAAACATTAAAGGTGAGTTTTGCTTTATTTTAATTGAACAAGGGATCCAACAATAGGAGATAGGATGAGCCTGCTCATTTGATAATGATTTACTGTTGGCATTGAAGACTAGACTTAAATAAATGTTTACCTCTAACAGCTTAAGCATTTAGGCATAGTTATTCAATATCATATCAGAGCATAGAAAAGTCCTGGTTTCACTGCCACTCATATATGAAATTGATCTTTGATGGAGGAAAAAAGGGAAAATGAATTGGGCTACGTGCGAGGTGTGTTGAAAACCGAACATAAATAAGTAAATGTGTCCCCATAATAGCTTAAGCGGTTTTATAATGTTTAACAGTTGGGCTCATTCATGTGTATCTCTGTTATGTCTTTCAGGAACATTGCAAGGAACACTTCGAGGAGGAGGAGAAAGAGCTATTACCAATGATGGAGGCAGTGGAATTGAGTAAATCGCAACAAGAGAAAGTAATGCAGCAGTGCATGGATGTGATGCGTGAAACTCACTCTCACCTATTTCGCTTTTTTATGGAAGGTCTCCGACCTCTGGATGCCATGCAGTACTTGGACATGATTAAGAGATATTGTGACAATGTTCGTGTATCATTGATGCTCCATATGATTGTTGATGCTCCACATTGATGGTCCATTGCCCTAATTAATGATAACACCAATCTGGTGCTAACTGGTAAGTAATATTTTTTTGTGTTTTCTTAATTTCTGGGGCCTGGCCTGTGGTTACCAAGTTGAGACTTTATCCATTAGATACTCTTGTGATGGTGCTTACTGTAGGTGAAGATAAAAAAAACAGTTGTACTTGCTATTGCCAGCCTAGTTTGTAAATTCGAAAATATTACCCCAATTGTCTATGCATTAGAGAATTTTCTCAATTGACAAATGTGATTCATTTTCATATGGTATTTTTGTTTCTTGTGCGTAAATGTGTTTATTTTTCTACAAATCATCACTTTTTTTAGCAATGTTATTTGTGGTCAACGACTCCAGTAGTCATCCTATATAACAATTTGTTATTCAAGACATTAATTTACTACAATTCTGTTGTCTCAAATAACAAATTGTCACATTAGGATGATTGCTGTTGTCGTTGAATAATAATTCTTTTCTTTTTTTTTTTCTTTTTTAATTAAGGTAAAACAAAAGATTAAATCTACTATTAATTGGAGGAGTCTTATCCGTTTATGTTCCATTTCTAACTTTCTACTCCTTTTTTCTTGTTACTGAAAAATGCAAATTGGCTAACATTTACTTGTACAATCTTTGTTGAAATCAAAATCCATCAACTCTACAACTGAAAATCTCGACATATTTTGTGACTTACAAAACCACAAACGTATTGTACATTAAAAAGAAATATACGTCAACCCATAATGATACAAGCTAGGCGCAAACTCTCATGTATAATTAGATAAGACATTACTGCTTTATGCTATTTTCGTATAAAGTACAAGGAATTCCAATATGGTTGCAGCCAAAGCAGCAGATCGGATGCTGCTGCATTTAGAATCTCCGCCATTATGGTGGTGGTAGTTGCGGTGGTTATTTGCAGCACCAGCACCAGCACCAGCCGCATATAAAGGGATGTTTGAACCTCCCTGAGTATAAGGGGAGCGTGATCCATCACCATTTGCGTCTCCACTAGTACTAGGTCGGCCTCCACTTACGCCTCTGCCACCAGCTGCAGCTGCATGGCCAAATTTAACTGGATGAGCCATGCCTCTTCCACTGCTATAGTTATCTGAAAAAGGTAAGAGAAACTATTTATATTTCATCTTGGACATGATCTTTCTTGTACAAATCAGGTTTCTTTTTATTATCGTGGCTTAACATAAGAAAAATTCACAAAAGGATGCTGAGACTTGAATTCAAAATCTTTATTAGGTTTAATATCAGGTCAAACTGTTCCATTTTAAAGTTTAAACTAGAATGTTGGACTCGAAATCAGACAAGATCAACGGGAGAAGGCATGGGAGATTTTTGTCATTTGTTTGGTCCAATTCAACACGTCGACTACACCCTTGAATTTTGACCAATTTCTATATGCTCCCCACCCCATGCAACGGATAAAAGGAAAATATCATGAACAAATAGATAATAAAGGACTAAGATAAGGTAGGATGCTTCCCACGCTTATAATTCTGGCATTATCTAATTTAACTCGACAAATATGTCGAGATCAGTAGTACTCGACTGAAAATCCGAGTTTTTGCCCGTTTACTAACGAAGATGTCATCAATTCAAAGTTTAATAAATTTCTTAATATTTATAAATTTCCATGTATTGTATGGTATTTATAAAATTTAATAAATTTCATAAGATTTGAATGAATTTTTATTTTGTAGATTTTAATAGATTTTCATGGATTTTATAGATTTTAGTGGATTTGGCTAAAATTTCTACAGTTCTTTTTGATCTGCTCGAATCATGGCTTACTCAAAATCCGGATGCAGTAGGATTCAAGAAAAATGGAGAGTCCATATGCTCTTTTCAAGATTATCATCGCTTTACGTTTATTTCATAAATATTATGTAATGAATCATTACAAATTTTCGAAAAAAATGGTTTTACCCACATATTCACATTGGGGAACGGAGGGAGGGAGGGAGGGGAGAGGAAGGGAGGGAGAGAGGTAAGAAAAGTTGTGAAATTTTTAGATTTGAGATAAATTTGTTAGAAATTTTTGGTAATTATATTTATGGCTTGAAATCTTTCAAAATCTATCTAATTAATGAAATCCTTTTAAATCAATTAGTTATCGAGGACACCTAAATTTCTAAAGTACCTATTAAATTCTATATTGAGGACACCTAAATTTATAAGTATTTCTAAAAATTCAGATTGAGGACACCTATATTTTAGTGAATTAAATTTTAATCTAAATTGAGGACCCCTCAATTTAGATGGAGTTTTAAAATCCATCAAACTCTAGATTGAGGACACCTCCTAAATCGATTCTTTTGCCCTTCAAAAAGCTTTGGAAAAATATATATATTCGAAGGTGTACTCATCATTATTCAGAAATTATAGACTCCAGAAACTTTCCCAGGGAAAAAAAGAAGAAAAAAGAAATCTAATAAGATATCTGAATCTTTAGGGCAGCCAAAAAAATTTCCAGGAAGAGACAGAAATTAAGCAAAGCCTTCTTTCTTATGAATATTAGATCGACTAGGTGAATCTCTTTCATCATCTTGTTCGTTTCATCCTACGTGAACTCGACTGAAAATCTAAGAAACCAGCTAGATGGAAACAAACAGAAAAAAGATATATTGGCATGAAATATACCTAAAGATGAGTTCTTTCCAAAAGGAGAAGTGGATGCAGCAGAACAACAAGAACAGACGAACAAGACCACGATCATCAGTTCTTTGATTCCCATTTTTCTTTCTATTCCAAATATTTTCATGCAAATTATCAAAAGCTTCTATTTTTCTTATACTCCTTTGAGTTATGTGAACAGTGAAGTTAATCTTCAAAGTTATCTAATCAACTTTTTGTAAAGTAATTCAATATAACGTAAGCTGTCTTGAAAGCAACCCTATCCTTCACCCAAGATTGATACTTTGCTTAATATATGTTACTCCATTAGAATCTTTAGCCACTTTTCTGTAACTTATTCGTTCCAAATATTCTCCACTAAGGTTTGGATACTATATTTGACAACTAGGTTTCCATTTAATTTAGTTTCATAGTCAGGTTGCACTTGCACATGAAATGTTGACCTTTGATACCAAATTGTTTGAATTTTGAAATCCACGGGTATTTGTATTTTTAAGAAAACTAGCCAAAAATATTAAAAATTAGACATGATGGCCCCGACATGGACGGGACCTGCAGCTGTGCCCACATTCTTGACGGGACGGCCTGCAAAAATATGCAAGTCGTGTCATGTTTACCTGTGGTCCGTAGTCGCTCACTTTACACCTCTAGGTATTCAAATTAGTTACTTCATTACAAAAAAATCAAAGAATACCCATAATTAAGTTTAACATAAGATGGATCTTTCGTTCCTGAAAAATTTACAGCAGAATCAGAAGTTTCTAAAAGGGAGAACTAGGCCCAGTACAACCTTGATAGAGAAAAACAAATTAATACACTTGAACCTTTGATTTTCGGGGGGAAAAAAAACACATATGCATCAGATATAAAAAATAAAATACTGATTATACTATATCTCTGATTATATATTTCAAAATATATAAAATCATTAATAATATCATAAACACTACATCCCCTAATTACTCCCTTAATAGTTTGTAACATATATTTTTATTTTTATTTTCAAAGAAACCAAACATTCCACGGAATTTATTACGTTTCCTTAAAATAAGCATATTCATAGAGAATTAAGTGGGAAAAGACACTCCGTACATTGGGGAAGAAAGTCTGCTTACGATTAAATTTATTCTTGAAGAATCAAATCCCATAATCTGCAAGATCATTCAATTTATTTTTTCGAATATAATATTAGTATATTCCTATCCTTAATCTGATATATATACCTTGATTCAAGATGCTGATTTTAATAAGTGAAGTTTTAACATCTGAATGTGAGATTACATCTATCATACGTGTTCACGCTGTCATCTGTACAATTACATCTCAGTTTTACATAACAATGGAGAGCTAAAAATTGAATACAATATTGCCATTGGAATGTGTATGATTTTGGGTGAACCAGACATTTCTAACTGTGGGGTCAAAAATTAAGGGTGTTCAAATGGAATTCAGGAGCTCCAAATAGTAGACTTTATTCATTGGCGCTTGAGCATGACTTACCTGACATCCCAAGTTTCTATTATATTAAACACTAACATGACACATACATGAGTTTTCTAAAAACTAAAGATGAAGAAACAAAAAAAATATGAATTAAATCATAACAGGAAATTTTTGGGTAAAAAAAATAGAAGCCCAATAATTTTCAATACATGAACAACAATGAATATTTTTGCTATTGCAACAAGTCGGTTGGGTTTTTCAAGTTACAAAAGAATATTGTCATCAATGATAATCTCAAATGTGTGATATCTAATAAATGGAACAAGAAAATAACAAATTGCAATAGCAATATATGCAAATATTCAATGGCGGAGCTAGGAATGTTGTTCAGTTCGGATGAAATTTAATCAAGGTTGGAGTTTTTGGAGGCTTGAAACGTATATTAAATTTGGGCCATTAAATTGTAGTATGCAATATGCACCAATATTTTTCTTCACTAATCTATAAACTCTAAGCTCAAAGAACAAATAAATAAAATGAAATATTCAATCTCAACTAGAGTTCGACCATAAATTTAATAATGGCAAAAATATAAACCAATATTAGGACAATACTAAAATGACATAGTTTATAAGACCAAATTAAATTGTTGAACAAAATTTGAATTTATACAATTTTGATAAAGATCACTTAATTGATTAAATAATATAATAATCCCACTTAATGGACTGTATGTTTTCCCAATTCACTCACACTCAAGGCTAGACCCTTACTTTCTCTTTCTCTATCACACAGTCATGCATACAATAGATACAACCAATATATTTAGTAGTGGTAAACGATGCAAATATTGACTCAAAAAAAAAAAAAAAAAAAAAAAAAAACCAAAATTTTGTGGGGTCATTTGACCCCACATAACCCCCTGTGGGTCCACCCCTGATTTTGAGGATACAATCTGCTACGTCAACAACTCATTTATTTACCTTGTTTGAGTATTATGTACAAACGGAAAACTTGTTAGATTGGCATTGCATTTAGAATTATAATTAAAAAAAAATAGAAATGTGCGATATCTATTCAACCAAAAGTATGTCCAATTGTAACCTTCATGAATATGAAAATAGAATTTCAGCAAATCTGTTATGGTTATGTGTAGCTATGGATGCAATGAACGTGCTAATAGCTAGTGGACTTGATAATGACTGAATTGGGGATAGATAATAGGAGAGCAAATATGTCGTTGATGTCGATATGGCACTTATAAGAATAATAAATGACAACTCCTTGTTGGATTATAACCAACTTAAGAGTGGTCCACATATCACATATCCCACTACTTTAGCAACTGATCCAATGTTTAAAAATCACGTTTGGTAACCACCCATAATCTGAGGATGTGCAAAACCGCTCTGTGATGGGCAGAGCAATTATAAAAGGCGTTGAGATTCATTCGGAAGGTCCCTAAGCTCATTTGTCACGTTTATTTTGCATACGCCATCTAAGTAGTGAAGAAAGAGAGCTTAGAAGAGCCTTAACCCGAAGTTAAACACCACTTATAAGCTTGAGTGAGTGCATCAAGAATGACAATGCCGGGAGGTACGTTTTCTATCCAATTTATTTTGCATTGATCTTAATGATATTTTGTTTATTAAAGCATGTTTAAATTGTGTAAAGAGAACTTTCACTCCTGCTATGAATTGTCACATCATGATATCACATCATTCGAGTGACAATCCAACTTATGAATAAATGAAATTTTGCTAGCTTTTTCAACATAATATTACTAGGTGATTTATCCTTTCCAACTTACGGGACATATCAAAAGTGAATGATTGACAATCTTGTTATTCTGTGAATTGAATATGATTTCTTAAATATGCTGAGATGTGACAGATGTCTCAATATGAGATTCTCTGAAATATTTGACGTAAATGCTTGAAAATTTAAAAAGTGGTATGTGAACATTGCAGAAGGACCCAAAGCAACGTTATGTGATATTATAATACGCAATGACACCTGATAAGTTCAAGCCACAAGTCAGTTCATAATTCTAATCAGTTGCCAACTGTAATCACATTTCCAGATAACAATGTCCAAAATTTTTCCCATAAAAGGGATCCTGAGTGAAACCGAGCCTATACAGAACTACAACAATCAGCCAAGCTTCGAAAAACAACCTTACAAATGGAGTATGAGTCATATAGAAGAAAATCACACTATTAGCCAGGCAACTACATGTGAAATATAGGATGTGGTTATGTCCTCTGTAACAAAAAAACTTGTACATGAGATCTATATCGCTTGATGCTGCATCAGCCATCTAAAGACCGAGCTCATTCCCATCAACATGGCAGCAAAATAGAGATAAAAAAATATTAATGGTTGTTGCATATTTTAAGATTACTCTAGAATTCACTAGATTGGCCTTGGTGAGCAAGAAAATAGAAGTCCCAAGAATTTCTTGATGAACAAGCAAAAATAGTAATTTAAAATTAAAAAATTAGAATTTTCTAGAATGTCTTGAAAAATAAGTAATAAAATGATGAAAAATCAGAATATTCTAGAATAGTTTCCACCACTATTTTGTGTGTATAAATAGGGGCTACCACTTTCAAAAAGTTGTAACAAAAAATTCGAAAAAGCATCCAACCTCTTGCATTGTAAATCAAAAGCCACTTTGTAAAATTTTAATAAAATTATTTTCTTCCTCCTTCAACTATCTTGTTCAATTAAATTACTCATATTATTTTTATCCCATATAAAATCTACTTAATCACTTCTATCTAAACTCATTTATTTCTTCTATTCAAAAGAACAACCATTAGTGGTATCAGAGCTTCGTTGGATTGATGTTGGGTGTAAGCACATACTATGGTAGATGCTTTTCGTTCTTCCATTCATATTTCAACATTTAATGGAGACAACTATGATTTTTGGTCCATCAAAATGAAGACCTGCTTTTGTGCGCAAAACTTATGGAATGTCTTCAATAATGGGTATGCTAACTCAAATGATATTTCCACTCTATCTACTGCACAAAAGAAGGAACTTAAAGAGAATTAAAAAAAAAAATTCTCTAGCACTACTTGCTCTATAAATGAGCTTGACGGATACTTATTTTTCAAGAATTATGGGAGCTAAAACGTTAAAAGAAGCTTGGGATAAATTGAATGAGAAGTGTCACGACAGTGACAAGGTACGTACTTATCATCTTCAAACTTTAAAAAGGAATTTTGAAAATTTAAAAATGAAAAATTATGAAACTACGAAAGATTATTATTCAATAATAGATGAAATAGTAAATCAATTAATATCTTATGGAGATAATGTTTCTCAAAAGGAAGTCGTTAGAAAAATTTTAAATACCTGCATAGAAAAATATGATTCAATTATTGCAGCTATTGAGGATTCAAAAGATATAAATAAATTGGTAGCTACAGAATTAATGGGTTCACTAAAAGTAAATGAAAAACTATTAGAAAGGCGTTATGAAATTAACATGAAAAACACTTTTCAATCTAAAATTAATATGCGGTTTCAGAAATCTAAAGAATGTGGGAGAAAATTTAAAGAAAATTATAAAAGTAAAGAAATTCAAGGAAAAGAATTTGATAAAAGTAGCAAGTAATTTTCTTGTGGTATATGGAAAAGAAAAAGTCATTTGAAGAAGAATTGTTGGTTTAAAAGAAAACCACAGTGTCGTCACTGTAAGAAAAATTTTGTCGTTTTAAGCAAAATCATCAAACTAATTTCTCTTTAAAAAGGATATAGAATGAGGTCTATTTTATGCCACTAGCCAGTA